TGAATTGATAAACTGCGTGCGCATCCTAACCCAAAAAGACGGAGTAAGTTAGACGATCGAACTAAACAGCCGGACGGAACAGCCGGACGGAGTAGCCGAACTAAACGACACAATGAAATAATTGGACGATAGAGACGGTCGAAATAACCGAACGGAACGATTTAGCTGATACGAACGAAACAGACGAAACATACGAACGGTGCTCGAACGGTGAACGATCGCTTTCTAGACGCTAGACTACCGCTAACCGCACGCAAGCCGCACGCAGAACGAACTGAACCTAGGTGGATACTTGGGCGTAATTCTAACTGTATACATGTATATGAGTAAGTGCTTTTGTTTAATGAACTGAGGAAATATTTAAGACAGCACACAGGTCGAGTGCTATTGTTAAGCGAATTGTGACAATATTTAGGACTAGTGCTATTATTTTGTGTACTAATACATTATCTAGTACTAGTGCTATTGTTTACTTAATTGTGACAATATTTAGGACTAGTACTATTAGTGAACTTTGACAATATTAAGGACTAGTGCTATTGTCTAGTGAACTGACAATAATTAGAACTAATGCTATAATTTTGTGTACTATGACAATATCTAGTACTAGTGCTATTGTTTAGTGAATTGTGACAATATCTAGTACTAGTGCTATTGTTTAGTGAATTGTGACAATATTAAGAACTAGTGCTATTGTCTAGTGAACTGACAATATTAAGAACCAGTGGCGGATCCAGAGTTTTTTGGGGGGGCTTCAGGAACCCCCGACCCCATCCTGAAAAAAATCTTTAAAAATCATGTACTTTCACTATTTTCCTCAAAATTTCCCCCCATATGGAAACCCCCCTAGAAATTTGCCCCCCCCCCCGCAGATAGGTCTCTGGATCCGCCACTGAGAATAAGTGCTCTTATTTTGTGGACTATGACAATATCTAGTACTAGTGCTATTATTTAGTGGACTGTGACAATACAATAGGTTAGAACTATTAGATCTTTCTTTAGTAGAGAGGTACATGTACATACAGTTGGGAGCAAAGGTGGTTAGTTTTCTCATAGTTTTATACTTTTTATGAAAAGTTTCTCTATAACATGACATCAATAGAATAATTCTTTGTTTTATACAAACAAGTCAAGGAAAGATAAAATTCAAGAAAAATCTGATATCATGGCATGGCACTATATATAGATAAAAGGTAAAGCTCAAGCTTAAGATGTGCATTGAT